ACACAGAACCGTTTTCACTTCCTCGAAAGCTTTATCTTCTTCATGTCTCCAGGCCTTTGCATAGGCTGCCTTTCTGCTTGGGACACCTGCTCCAGGAAGCCTTCCCTGACCCCTCTCAGAGATGAGTCAGTCTCCTCCTTCCCACCCCCATCAGCATGAGTTCTGTCTGTCCAGGTCAAGTCTAATGCTCAGGGCACATTTACCAGATAGGAAATCTCCCCAGAGTCTGCCTCTCCATCCTCACATCTGGTAGCTGCCCACCCCCTCCTCTCACCTCTCACACACCTACCTGGGCTGTTCTTTCTGCCTTTAACCTTTGACTTCCCATGGGGCCCACTGGCACCAGGAGGGGCCTTTGTGGCTTTGTCTGGCTGTTGGGGGACCTTCTTGGCCTTGCCCACTCTTGCCTCTCCATCCTTGGTCTGGCCACCTTTCTTGGGGGCCTCCTCCTTGGCCTCACCAGGTCTCTGGCGGGCTGACAGGGTGGACGTCTTCCTAGGCTGGATTTTTTTCTTGTGCTTGGGAACTAACTGGCAGAGGAGAGAATGGGGTGGGATCGAGAGCTGAGGTTCTGGGTGCTCGTGTCCCTATTTCCAACATAAAGCTCAGGGAAGGAGATGGTTGAGGGCATGGGAAAAGATACATGACCACCTGCTGCCAGAAACACATTTAATCCTTTCTTTGCTCTGCAAGGGAGGGCTGTTGCCACTTAGGAGCTGGGGGACCCGAGTCTCCCAGACTCACCCAAAGTGTTCTTCCTGCTTCCTAAGGCCACAAGCACACCCTTCCCACCCCAAATCCTACATCTGGAAACATTAAAGCCACGCTTCTGGGAGCAAATGGTGCACACTGTGAGCCCTGACCCCATCCTAAGAAGCTAAGCTCTGAACATCTTTTGGCATCCTCCCTGCCCACACCTTCCCATGGACTGTGGCTCTGACTCTCCCCGCTTCTCCCCAACAAAGCCAGCCCTACCTCACACCTCCATGTGTCCAAACTCCCTGCTTCGTCTGTTATACCCACCAATGGAACGTGGACTTCAAGGTCACATAGCCCAGAGTTTATAACTTCCTCCAGCCTACCCCAGCTGTGCAACTTGGCAAAGTCTTTTCTGCCCCAACTAGCCTCAATCTTCCCATCTTTACAATGGAGCCATCAGAGAGGGTATGAGCATCAGGAAGATGCAAGGGTCCCTGGCAAAAAGGTGGTCCTTGCCTTTCTAGAGCCCACCTGTGACAATGTTGTTCCCCAAACCCCAAGCCCTCATGGCTCCCCAATTCCCAACCAGACCAGATACAATCCCAACTCCCAGTACACACACATCCCTAACTCTATGGGTGCCCTAGGGCCCCTTCCTTGCCTCCCATCCCCTCAGCCCACTTTCCTAACGAGTTCCCAGCCCTGCAGCTTAACCCAGCACCCCTCTCTTGCTCTCCTCACCCCACCCTAGCGCAGGGCCTTGCCATGGCTGTGTCCAAGCTCTGAACCACGTGCAGGAGTTCTACAAAGATGGGACTTCCTGTGCTCAGCCACCGATTACCACAGGGACTAGAACGCAGTAGGCTGAGAATGTTCCATGGCAACTGTCAGAGCAACTGCTACATGCTGGGGCACAGCAATGACAAGACAGACCCCATGTCTGGTTCCTGAGATTTCCCTGGTGGCAGCTGGCAGTCATGACGCTGGAGTTCAATGTTGTGACAAATCTGACCCCCTCTGGGACCCTCCCATTTGAAAGAAGAGGACATGGTGCTCTGGCAGGTGCCAGCCCTGATTTGGAGCCAGACAGCATGGGGACTGAACCCCAACTCTGTGACCTTCCAGACCCCAAGGATGGGCCACTTCGCCTGTGGTGAGGAGTTCCAGGAATGGGTCGTGGGCAGAGAATACAGCTGAGATGGTCCCTGGTCACTGAACACACCCAACAGGGATAAAGGTGGACACAGAGGGTGACCAGAGCTCTGTGAGGGCTCAGATGAGGCAGGCACGCCAGCCTTCCTGGAAAAGAGTGTGTCTCTGAGAACACACAGGAAAAACAGGAAGAGGAGACAGGGAGAAAGCCTTCTGGCAGGTGATGGCACACAGGCCAGGAAGAGAGAGCCAGAACTGAAGTTTAAACCCTGGCCAAGTCTCCTCACCCTGTGGCCTCCCCCCCGCCCCCGGTAGGCTCACCTTGAAGCTGCCAGTGGCCCCCTTGGCCTTGGAGTTGGTGGGCCTGCTGAGGAGGCCGCGTTGCATGCCCGTGTCCAGGGCCCGCTTCAGCAGGTACTTGAGCCGCACGGCGTCGACCGTTGGGTACTTCTGCAGGATGTAGACCTTGATGGCCGCCACCGAGGTGCCCCGGCGCTGCTCTCCCGCCTGCAGCGCCTCCAGCACCATGCGCAGCATGGGTGGGTTGCGGCGTGGTGCTGGGCCGGCACTGTGGCTCGGGCCTGCGGACGGACAGCAAGACATTAGCCAGAGCCCAAACCGCCCTCGGGCCCAGCTCACCACAAGCATGCCTCGGGGAAGCACACTCCAGGCCCCAGCCAGGCCCCATCGTGGGTGGGCAAGGGGCCTCGGGGATCAAATATCCCCCGTGTCAGTGCCTGCGAGCACCCCAAGGACAGGACACGCTGCTTGGCCAGCGACTGTGTCCCAGTGCCCGCCGTGGGGCTGGGCGCACACCAGGCACTCTATGGAGGCTCATGGAAAGAATTCAATACTCCTTTTGAAAATCAACCTGAAATAGGGTCAGGTGTCTAGATCTAACTCCCAGTTTGCAGGGAATCCAGGGGCTCTGTGAAAGGGCCACAGGGATAAAATCAGCAGAATCCAGACTGGGAGGCTCTCTCCAGGAACAAAGTCCAGCTTCATCTACAAATAAACAAGGGAAACGGAAAGGGGCAGCGGTCCCAGGACGAGAGATTCTGGAGAGACCTCTTAGCCAAATGCGACGTGGGGCCCTTGCTCAGATTTGGGATGTGATTTGAATGACCCAGCTGGGAAAAAGAAAGCCAACTAGATAAATGGGAATACTGGAAATATTTGATGATATTAAGGAGGATATTGTTTCAGGTATGCTAATGGTATTGAAATTCTTTTGCAAACAGTTTTTTTTGTTTTTTTTAATCGTCACCCAAGTATATTTTTTCCATTGATTTTTTTTTAGAGAAAGTGGAAGGGGGGGAGAGACTGATGTAAGAGAGAGGCATTAATTGGTTGCCTCCAACCCAACTGGGGCTGNCTGATTTTTTTTAGAGAAAATGGAAGGGGGGGAGAGACTAATGTAAGAGAGAGGCATTAATTGGTTGCCTCCAACCCAACTGGGGCTGGGNTTGATTTTTTTTTAGAGAAAGTGGAAGGGGGGGAGAGACTGATGTAAGAGAGAGGCATTAATTGGTTGCCTCCAACCCAACTGGGGCTGGGATTTGAACCTGCAACCCAGGTGTGTGCCCTTGACTGGGAATCGAACCAGCAACCCTTTGGTCCACAGGCTGATGCTCTAACCACTGAGCCAAACCAGCCAGGGCAAATTTTCTTATTTTTTTTAAAGATACATACTGGTGATTATAGATAAAATGGTAGCTCTGGCACTTGCCTTGAAATAGCCCAATACATGAAACAAGAGTAGCCATACACAAATAACTGTTGAGGTTGGATAATGGGTGCTGGGGGTGGGTCTGGCACAGGAGTCACTGTACCACTCTGTCTACTTTTGTATTAATTTGGAAGTTTTCACAATAAAAAGTTACAAAAGAATTCCACTCCTAAATATATACCCAAGAGAAATGAAAACATATGTCCACACAAATATTTTTATACAAAATGTTCATAGCAGCATTATTTATAATAGCACAAAAGTAGAAACAACCCATATGCCCATAAACTAATGAATGGATAAACAAAATGGGATAGCAATAAAATGGAATGTCATCTGGCCAAAAGAAAGAGTGAAGTGCTTCCTTGAAAACTATGCTGAGTGAAAGAAGTCAATCACAAAAAATTGCATAGTGTGTAATTTCATTTATACAAACTGTTCTGAATGGGCAAATCATAGGAATAAAAAGTAGGTTAGTGATTGCCAGGGGCTGGGGGCGTACAGGGTGGGGATGGGAGTGACTGCTAGTGGATGCAGGTTTTCTTTTGAGGTGATGAAAATATTCTAAAATCGACTGTGAAAATGGATACACAGCTGTGCATATACTAAAAGCTGTTGTACACTTTAAATGGGTGAACTGTATGATATGTTAATTATTGACATATCTCAATAAGCTTGTACAAAAAAAAAGTTGCAGAAGAGCATAGGATCAAGGGGTGAGCAGGGAGGAAATGTGAGAAATTGTCAGTCCCTATAAGGTACATAAAAGTGGTTTAAATATAAAACCTGATTTAAATATGGAAATTAGAAATGTTGCCTTCTGATCAACTTGCAAAAATTAAAGACTCAAAAGAGAATCAGTTGGCTAAAATATATATATTTTAAAAACACCCCAAAGCTCTAGATCTTGAGCAAAATTGTAAAGAGAACTAATCCAATTGGACCACTGCTGCCTCCTAACCAGGAGAGCCCAGTTTGTCTGGGAATATTCATTTTGGGGCCAAAGCCTGTGAATTGGTGGAGTCCTGAGTCAGCCACCCCCAGGACCTTGGGAGTTTTCCCCTCCTCTCTGGGCTTCAGTCTTCCCATCTGTACAGTGAGGATGGGGGCCTCTAAGGAGGTCTGCGCCATCCCAGCTGCAGTGTTAGAGGGTTTCCAGAGGGGTACTGAGGCCTGGCCTGGTCTGACACCTTAATAACCCCTCTTATCTCCCCCAAACCATGCCCTGTCCCAAGGAGCCACCCTCAAGTCTCCTCCCTCTCCAGCCCCTCCAGGTGAATTCAGCTCCTCATTTGGCAGTTATTCAATACTGGGATGTCCAGAACTCACACCGCCCCCACACCTGCCCTCGACTTTTCCTTCCCAGGAATGGCACCTCCCCCCATACCTACCCAGACACCCCAGCTAGAACCCAGGGGACATCCTGAACCCCCTCCCCTTCACCACCGCACCTACTCCACCCCTCCCCCTAGGCTTCTCTCCCTCCATTCTAGCCTCTCCTCTCCATCTGGGGCCCCAGCCTCCTCCCTGCTGCCTCCTTTCCCTTCCAATCTATTTTCCTCACTGTACCTCACACCCCCCACCTCCATATTACCTTCAGTGTAAGGGCCAGCTCACCTGACCACAGCCTGGGAGGCTCAGTCTGGTGGGTCCCGCTCACTCACCTGTGTTCTCCTGTCTCTGCCCCTAGCCACACGACTTGCAACTCCCCAAATGCTCCACCAGCACGCCTACCTTTGGGTTTTTGGGCCTTTGCCTATATTGTTCCTTCCATCTGGGTGGCCTTCCACCTTAGTCACCCAGGCAGCTTTTGCTCGTCCTTCAGGGCTCAGACAGCACTGTGATTTGAACACCTGCCCCGACTTCCCAAACCAGAGTGAGCAGCTCTTCCCTGTGCTCTCTGAGGCACCTGGAACCCACCCCCCTGCTCCAAAGGAACCTTTGCAAAAACTCAGAAAGATTTCCCTGCCCAATCCTCTTTCTCTTGGGTGAGGTTTATCCTTCCTTCAGGGGTCACCTCCTCCAGGAAGCCTTCCCCCACCTCCCAGGGTGTGTTAGGTGACTTCTCTGGGCTCCCTCAGCCCTCTGGGTTCCCTCCATTAAAGCCCATGCCAGATCATCAAATGTCATCTATTAATGAGACAGGTTTGCCTATCAGACTGGGAGCTCCCATAGGGAATGAACTAGATGTGTCTCAGTGGACCACATATCCCGAGAAACCCAGAGGCGTTGTTTATTGAAATTTGGGATGCAGCCCTAAATCCAAAGCCCAGCCCTTTATCAAACACTGGCTACTCTAGTCCCTTCAACTAGCTGCCCTGCAGCTGCAGCTGGGCTAGTAGCCCTCCCAGGAAAGAAAAGGAACTCCAGCTAGGGAGGCCTGCTCTGGCCTCTTGCCCTGAGCTGGGCCAACCTCAGCTCTCAGGTCCTGCCTGGCCCCTGCCACTGCTGGCATCTGCCAAGTGGGCAGTTGAACTCAACAACCTCTAGGATGGGTTCTGGGGCGAGGCTGGGAGAGGAGGAGGGTGGAGGAGGAAGGGTCCGGACACCCAGGGAATGTACTTGCAGGGATGAGGGAGGAGTTGCCTTTCTTTGCTCACCTGGCTTTTGAGCCCCAGACCACCCAGAGGTGGAGGTCATGGAGGTCGTGGAGGTCGTGGAGGTCATGGGGGTTAGGGAGGCCGAGGAGATCAAGGTGTCACTGGAGGCTACGCTTCCAGGAGCCATTGCACAGGTAGACAGACGCAGAAGTGAGGCTGCCAGGCCAGCCTGCTTGTCTTATATACCAGTGGTCTGGCCCCATGACGCCAATTAGTCCCTGATTGGGCTGGGACGTTCTGAGCTGCTGATTGGGGCGGGAGGGTAGGATGGGGCACTACCGCCCTGCCTTGGGCACTGACACCCCAGCTTAGTCACCTACTCCTGTGTGACTTTGCATGAGTCACTTGACTTCTCAGGGTGTCAGCCCCTGTGGTGAAATGATGGGGACTGAGACTCTTGGTCCCTCTTGCACCCTCTGCTCACCAGGGGCTGGAGATGCTGATGGGGAATTGGGCACAGCTGGGTCGTACAGGCAAGGCCCTCCAATCCCACCACCCGTGCCTCACCCTGTTCCCTGGCCACTGCTTGCCTAAATTTCTCAAGAAGTAGCAGCTGGAGGCCCACCAATGTGGTTTGCCTGAAGCAGATACCCGTAGGTCAACCTGTGGCCATCCTTGTGTGTGTTTTTTTGTTTTGTTTTTAAGAAAGAAATATTTATGGGATGAAAGAGCAATTTTAAAATAAAATTGCTTAGCAAAAGTCTCCAAAAAATTTGACAATAGCCATGGGAAAATGGACAAAAAAATATAAATAGGCAATTCACCAAAACAGTTGATAAACACAGGAAAATATCCTTAACCTCCTTGGCATCCAGGAAAATTCAGACTGAAACAACGATGAGATATAATTTTCCCATAAAAATGACAAAAATTGAAGACAAAGTGTTGGCAAAAATTCAGGGAGCTGGATGCAGAGGCTCCCTCTGCCCCTGCCAGGGGTGTAAATTGGGGTGCAGCCAACTTTGAAAAGGTTTTCCCTTGAGCCCAGCAACTCCACTTTTCTGTCCTAGAAGTGCATTAGCTAGGAAAAGAAAGTAAAATAGAACTAACTTCCAAGTGAATCCCTTGGGGCCTGACTAAATTACTCCCTTACTGAAGAACACTCTGCAGCCATTTAAAGTGATGAGGTGGATTACAACAAAGATGAGGTTGTATTTCACACCCAGTAGAATAACAAATATTTAAATGTCTATCAATGCTGACTGCTCAGGACATGAAGAAGTGGGTAACCATTAGGAGGATCAGTTGGGAGCCACTTTAGAAAGCAATTCAGTAGCATCTACTATGGCTAAAGATGGACTCATGCCACATCCCACCCAAGTCACTCTAGGTATGAATTGGAGAAACTCCTACGTTGATATACAAGGGTGCTTACTGCAATCTTAGCAAAACTTCAAAGCAACCTAAATGCCCATCAGGAGGAAGGTGGACAAATAAACTGTGGTCTATTCATATGTGGAACAGTACACAGCAGTGAAAATGAAGGAGCCAGAATATATCTGAGAAATATGCTCTCCACTTCTGAGAAAACAGAACTCGTGTGTGTGTGTGTGTGTGTTGAAGGCACAAAAGGCCTGAAAGGATTTACACCAAGGTAATAGCAGGGATTACCTCTGAAGAGGGCACAGAATTTGGAGGGGATGGATTTAAAATAGATTTTAAAATTTCTTTCTACAGTCTATTTTTGGAATTTTCCCAGGGGACTCTCCATTGCCAGAGTTCTGGATCGAGGGAGGCAGTGGTCATCAAAGTGTTCTAAAGTGAAACCAGAGATCATTCACCTGCCTCCTCTGGACTGTTTCCCACTCATCCTTTTGGCCTCAGTGTAGATGTCACTTCCTCAGAAAAGTCCTCCCTGACTCCCTAGGAGGTTATGGGCCCCTCCTCTGGTTGCCCAGCAGCCCCCGGACTTGCTGTCTGGGAGCCTCCAGCATCCTGAGTTACAACTCTGACTTATTTCTCCTTCATTAGCTCTTGAGCTTGGTGGTAGTGTTGGGGGTGTTGGGGGGAGCAGGGCTGTGTTATCTTGTTCTTGGTGGTATCCTTGGTGCCCAGCACAGCGCCTGGCACATAGTAGGTGCACAGCACCCATTGCTGTGGAAGCCCCAGTGTCAGAGCTCAGTTTGACTGAGTGTAAGAAGGTCTGAAGACAGGAGGCAAAGAGGCACATGGAAGCTGGTGCAAACGGAGGCAGCAATTTTTATCACATTGTGGGGAATTTCCAAGAATTGAGAAATAGAAAAAGACTCAGTAATACAAACATTCCCACGAGCTTACTCTGAAACCTTGCTTCTGGGCTGTGCCAGGATAGAGGTTTGCATTTGGAGGGAAGAAGTTCTAAAATGTACTGCGTGATCTAAAAATTCTTTTAGAGGATTGCCTTTTTACAGGGAAATAATCATTGTGAGGATCAGCCTGCTGGAGAGGAGCGGTGGCTTGGTGTGCTGATGGGACTCTTTTCCTGAGGCCTGTATGGAGTTTAAGTTTTGCCGAAAACTTCTTTTACCATCTTGGAACACTGAAAAGGGTCCACCTGTGCGGGAGCTTTCTGATAGTTCTGAAGGTTTCAGTTCTCAACTTTCTGAAGTAGTGATAGGGTGGTTGTTTTGTGTAACTCTAGCCTCTGTAGCAGCAGGATATTTGTGATTTTAGGTCAATAAATGCATAGAGGGCAGGGAAGAAGTAGTAGTAGCTGCTACGTTCGATATCTATGTTAATATTTTATGTCCACTGTTTTATTTACACATGAAGAAGCAAAAGTTCTGAGAGGGCCTGCTCTAGATCTTCCTGAGTCCAGACCCTGGGCTGCAACCTGAAAGCCCTCTGTGTTAAGAAACTAGCTACGATTCCAAAGTAACAATGGCTCAACAAGAAACCATGAGACCATTTCTCACNCTTAAGAAACTAGCTATGATTCCAAAGTAACAATGGCTCAACAAGAAACCATGAGACCATTTCTCACAAAACTCTTCAAGAGTAAGTTGTACAGGCTGGTAAGGTAGCCTGGGAAACCCAGGGTCCTTTTCTTGATACTGTGCTGTTCTCTGACCATAGATTCTACCTCATGATCCAAGAGAGCTGCTGTAGCTCTGGTCATCATGACCACATCCCTGCTTTCAGAAAGAAAAGAAGAAAGGAAGTGGAGGACACCTCCATTCTCTGAAATGCAAAAATGCAAAAGACGTTGCAAACATTACTTCTGATTATTACTTCTGGCCAGACCTTAATGTCATGCCACTGCAGGTGCAAAGGAAGCTGGGAGATGCAGTCTGGTGCTGGGTGGCAGAGTGACAGCTAGAACTTGGGGTGATATTACTAAAAAAAAGAAAGGGTCTGGCTCAGTGTTTGAGCATCGACCTATGATCCAGGAGATGGAGGTTTGATTCCCAGTCAGGGCACATGCCTGGGTTGAGGGCTCAAGCCCCAGCAGGGGGTGTGCAGAAGGCAGCCGATCAATGACTCTCATCATTGCTGTTTCTATCTCTCTCCCTCTCCCTTCCTGTCTCTGAAATCAATAAAAATATATTTTGAAAAAAGAAAAGGCAAAGAAAGAAAGAAAGAAAGAGAGAGAGAGAGAGAGAGAGAGAGAGAGAGAGAGAGAGAGAGAGAGAAAGAAAGAAAGAAAGAGAGAGAGAGAGAGAGAGAGAGAGAGAGAGAGAAAGAAAGAAAGAAAGAAAGAAAGAAAGAAAGAAAGAAAGAAAGAAAGAAAGAAAGAAAGAGGAATGAACATTGAGGCAGTTAGCTCTTGTTTCCCGCTCTCCTGAGACCCCCTCCGTTATTTTAATCTCTTCAGTGCCTATCTCGACCACAGCTGGGGCTGCTCCTTTGAACTTGATTCAGGTCTCTGGGAAGGGAACTCACATTTATTGACTACCTACTATGTATCGCATCTTTTATATCAATAATCTCGGTCCCTTTAGACAAATCTACCAACTTGGATAATTCTCCCCTTTTAAAGCTGAGGGGCCTGAGTCCTAGTGAGGTTCAGAAACTTGGTATGAGGCCACACAGCTGGAGAGGACACCCACCATCTCCCTGGGGGAAACTTGGGGTGTCAGGAATGCACATCTCTACTGTGGGGCAGAGGGACAGGCTGCCATCAGGCCCTGCTGCCGTGGGGCCTGGGGTAGGGTTCACACAATCTCCTCCCAGAGGCACAATCAGGGGTGAGAGAGCTTTGTGGCCCTGGGGCTAGCTAGGTCATAGCCCAGAGATTTGGTCCCTCCAATCCAATTCTGGAATTTCCGGCATGTCCTGGCCTAGGATCCACCTCCTTAGATTGGGTTGAGTGGAGACACGACTGTATACAGCAGGCATTCCATAAACGTGTTGGCTGCCAGGAGCCTAGAGATGAGGTGGATAATAACCTCTTCTCAGGCTGTCAGTAGCTCTTGCCTTCCTATGGCAAGTACCCCACACATAGCTGTCAAATCAGTTGTAAATTAAGGAATTAAAGAGGTTTTCCTCTCTACCAGGAAAAACCACAGGATGTTCTGGTTTCAGAGTAAATTTTTTTTCTCTGGATGTGAGGTTGAGATAAACATACCAGTCTTCAGAATATGTGAAGTCGGGTGGGGGAGTCCCTGTAAGGCAGGGCAACTAAAATGCCACTGTCCCTCCCACTGCCATGCCTGGCCCAATTCAGCACCTGAAATGGAGAGTGACCTGCAGGACCAACCATGGGAACCTTCTTTCTTGTGTCCCCAATGTGGGAGGGAGGCCTGGTCTAGTCAAATATCAGTGACTTAGAGTCCATCCTTGCTGGGCCTCTGTGTCTCTGCCCACCCTGCCTCCCGCCCTCCTACTTCTGGGAACAACACTCCCAGGGTTTCCTTTGGGCCCCTTTCTGTCCCCTCTCTCAGACCATCTGGTTTATGTGGGGTTAATATTGGGCTGCAAGGGCAATCAGGTGACCCAAGCCTGGCCAATGAGGGCGCTACCTGGAAAATCTGCTGGAACTGAGGGAAAAGAGAAGCGAGCTCTCTGCAGGGCTTACTGGGCCTGAAACAACTGGTTGCCACCTTCTGCCATGTCTTGGAAACGGCCTGTGCTTGAAGCCAACACAGAGGAAAGTGTAGCCAGAAGAGACACAGAAGCGCAGTAACATCATCTGAGCACCAGTCTCTAGCTGTTCCTAAAGCCCTGGGCTTTTCACTTATTGGAACCAATGATTTGCCCCTTTAGTTTCAGCCCTAAAGGGAATTTCCTGTCATTTGCAGCCAAAGGAATCCTGACCGACATCACCCAGGGAGACAGAGTGAAGAGGGACAAGGGCAGAGAGCCTGACTCTTACCTGCCCCAGCCCCACCCTGGCGCTAAGGACCTTCCTGCCATCCTTTCCCACCTTGGAGAATGAGGCTAACTCTTGGGGGCTATACCTCCATCCTGTTTCCCTTGCAGATGGGGTGCCCAGCAAGGTGAGCACTGAGCTGAGGCCCCAGTAATGTCAAAAGTCTCCCACCATCTGCTGTATGTCAGGAAGCGAACTGGCTACGTAGTCTGCAATCTCATCTAATCCCCTCAAGGTCTGTTTTAACATTCTCTTTTGCTGATAAGGAGGCTCAGAGAGGTGACAAAACTTGCTTGCAGTTTCGCAGGTCATCTGGGTCTCTGTGACTCCAAAGTTGGGGCTTTTCCCATTCCTGGGCTGGCTCGCCCCTCCCCTCCCCTCCCCC